AGGTGGGTGGTGACAAATTTGATATATAAATACAAATAGGCCAAAGTTGCTTTCTGTAGAGTTTCATGACTGAACCTCCTTATTTTAATCTGGATATCAAAAAGAAAAAGGAAAAAAGTTTTTTTTTTCTCTTAGAAATGAGATTTGGAGAATATGACTTTTTCTTCCATTATATTTCCTCCTCAACATTCTCAATATCTTCTACCATACCTAAAGTCACCAATAATTTCTCTCAATATAATATGCATAGACCACAGTAAAACAAAAACAAAGCATCTTAGAGTTAAATGAACAACCCCACCCCATCCTAAAAAATCTTTTCAGCAAGATGGGAACACTCATGCTTTAAAACCAAAGTCCCTCAACATTTTGAGTGCTGCCTTATGGACTTCCTTGTTTCGCAGGGTATAAATGATGGGGTTCAGAAGGGGTGTCACCACAACATAAAAGACTGCAATTTGCTTATCATGATCTTGACCTGTGTCTGAATGGGGGATGATGTACATAGAGATGATGGTACCATAGAATAAGGTGACCACTATGAGGTGGGAGCCACATGTGAAGAAAGCTTTACGCCATCCAGTAGTTGACCTCAAGTCTAAAATGGAATATAGAATTAAGCCATAGGAAGACAAGATGACTGAAAGGGGAACCAGAACAATAAATGCTGATAAACCAAAAACAACAGATTTGGTTATTTTTGTGTCATCACATGCAAGTTTTAGCACAACAGGCAGTTCACAGATGAAGTGGTTAATGGAGGGGCCACAGAATGGATGATGAAAGATGAAAGCAACATACACAACTGAGAAGAGACAGCCTATGGTCCAACAGGACGTGGCAAGCAGTAGCTGGTGCATCCTGTCCATGGAAGAGGCATATATCAGGGGATGGCAGATGGCTAAGTAGCGGTCATAAGCCATGACTCCCAGCAGCAAACATTCTGTACTACCCATGGTCAATGCAATATAACTCTCCATCACACAACATGCTAAGGATATGGCTCCATTTCCAGTCAAAAGTTGAGCTAACATTTGGGGCAAAGTGCTAGTAACATAGCCAATATCCATGACTGCAAGGTTGCTGAGGAAAAAGTACATGGGAGTGTGGAGTCGGGAATCAACCTGCACCAGGATGATGATCAGCAGGTTCCCCAAAACTGTAAGCAAGTAGATCATGAGGATGACTCCAAAGAGCAGAAGCTGCATTCTTCGGTGGCTGGTGAGCCCCAGTAAGATGAACTCTTTGACAGAGGTGAAGTTCTCATTTACCATCTTAGCATCTTGCCTGAGGTGAAAGGAAATTAGTGAAAGATCATGAAATTTCCTGGAAGTGAGACCACCCATAAATGAATGAATGAATGAATGAATGAATGAATGAATGAATGAATGAATGAAT